GCTTCCACGGATGCCCTCCTTGTGTGAGACCCTCACTGCCACCTTTATACCTCCTCATCCGTTAAGTAGCTAGAATACCTCCCATCCCACGTTAGGGTTCAAAGAGAATTTTGTCTAGCTTGAAAATCAATTTACGAAACTGAAGTAGTTTTTCTAGATTTTTAGTTATTAATGAAATACACTAGCTTTGTCCAAATTCGTTGGCTGTTACCAAAACCGATTTTTCTCTCAAACCACTGTATTCATTTTGAATGAAAGCAATTTTCCTTGAAAGTTAGCACTTGAAGGAAGGTTTTGATACAAAATTGATCTCAAGAGAATTTTTATGTATTTTTCTAGAATTGTTTAGAAGTGGGCTGAAAATGCAGATCATTTGTGTACAAAACTTGAAACATAAAGATTTATAAGAGAGGGGACAACCATTGATGATTTTTTTACTTCTCTTACTATGAAAACATGCTAAATAATTTGTTACTAAATCAAATTTTTAGATTGAAGGACATCCTTTGAAAAATAACGTAAGATATAGATAGAAAAAAGATAGTTTTGCTCCATTTAAAAGCGAATACAAGCAAGAAAGGAAACAAGGTTCAATTTCTCTTATTCAAATACAATAACACACATCTCAAAATAATATTATAAGCCTCTAGTATCATGTATTTGAAAGATAAAAATAAAAGAATACGTTGTGTTGTGGCTTACTTGAGTTCCTATGGAATGGTTGCACAAGAATTTCTTCTATCTTCCTTTCCCTCACCACCAAAGCTTTCTCTCCTTATCTCCTCTCCTCTCAGTTGTGGGGTGTATATAGGTGGTGTATGAGTGTGTAGTGTTCCAAAATGTGTAGGGGAATGGTGTATTTATGGAGTTCAAAAGCTTCCTCCATAATTTTCCCAAAGCTTCCTCAAGAATCTATCCAAGCTTCCTCAAGAATCCATCAAAGCTTCCTTAGTAATGAATCAAAGCTTCCTCAACAATCCATCAAAGCTTCTTCAATAATATTTCTTCAAGGCATACACAACACCCTTTGATTTTTTGTGTGTACAAAGTGTATATTTTTAGAAAATATTTGTGTACAAATTTGTTTATTTAAAGAAAGTACAAGTACAAACATATATATATATATATTATGGTACTACTTGGGGCCAATATAATTTAGATAAATTATGAGGGCTAGGGCTTAATTTTATGATTTGGAAAAATTTGTTGAAGTGTAGAATTTGATAAAATTAGAGTTTGGGAATTTAGTTTGGTTAAAGTTTTTCTATTTCGAATTTAAATGGCGATCAATTGAATGAACGTAATTTCAACTGAAGCTTAGGATTTTGAGTGAACAGCCCTTATTTAGGGAGTTAATTAGCTATTATTAGGGTGCTAGAAATTATTTATATCACTACAACAAAACTAACTATTTACGGCTTTATGTTTACGGCATGCATCGAATGCATGTCGTAGTTAGTACATTCTATGACAATTTTTTTTTTCTTTTTTTCCAAGTCGTTAATACTTTTTCAATAACAGCATACATACCATGTAAGTCGTTGATTCATATATTTATGCCATGCAAAAGTATGTTGTAAAAAATGTATATTTTCATGGCTTGTAAAAATGTCATAAATTTTTTACATTTAAGACGATATACATTTCTTGTCGTAAAATATTATAACTTTACACGGCATGCATTAACATGTCGTGAAAACTTCTACTAAAAAAAATTTTAATCCAAATTTTTTTTATGACATGCAAAAAGTATGTCATAAAAAATATATTTTTTCACGGCATATAAAAATAGGTCATAAAATATTTATACTTAAGTCGACATATATTTCATATCGTAAAATAGTATGAGTTTACATGGCATGCATTAGCATGGCGTGAAAAAAAAAATTCAATCCTTTTTTTTAATTTAAAAAAAATACAATTTCCAACTAAGGCCTCATTTGGGAACAGGCTAATTTAGTAATTTTTTGGCTATTTGGCTAAAAAGGTAGGTAAAAAAAACTTGTATGTTTGGGATGACTTTTTGGCTAATTACGAAAAGATATGCAAAAAGTAGAGAGAAAAGAGAATCTTTGACTTTTTGGTATGGGTTGTTGGCTTTTTGGCTAATTTAGTAACTTTTTGGCTAATTGGCTAAAACAGTAAATCCCCAAACGGGGCCTAAGCTTCTCACCATAAAATTTCTTAATTGAGGACAACGTAAAAAATAATTTATGGACTATTTTTCGTAATTAATATTTTACTCTCTATTCACATAGTAGTCCCACACACTATGTGAGTAGGAAGTAAAATATTAAATATTAAATAAAAAATTTGATTAAGTCTAACATTAATTTTTAAATTATCACAATTTCTATTATTGAATTTGTAATTCAACCCATCAATTGAATAAAAATTACATCACAAGGTATGTCAAAAAATAACAAATATATAGAAATGGCTAAAAACCACAAACACAAGAAATGGCTAAAAACCACAAACACATAAGATGCAACCAGCCTACTAAACTCAAACTTAGAGAGGCCTTAAAAAAAATTGCAGTAACTCGTCCAAGGAAAATTATTCTTTGCTCCAGGGGCAAGATGATGTGGTGCTCCAACTTAGCTGTGATTGTTGAATTAGTGAGACCCAGTATATTTTTTTTGTCTCTTTTTTAGGGACAATAGGACACTTGTCCCTCAACAAATGGTATGGGGCAATGCCCTAAGACCAACCAATATCTTTTCCTTATCCAAATTCAGTGCGTCATCTTCTTATAAAGAGAGAAAGAGAAAGAGAAAGAGATAGAGAGAGAGAGAGAGAGAGAGAGAGAGAGGGACCTGATTGATTTTCACGACTTCAAAGACCTCATTTTCTAGAACATTCATGGCTCATCATTCATCATCACCACTCATCTTCAAACTCATCATCATCACCATCGCCTTCACTCTCGTCCCAATCTCATCATCCATTCCCTTCATTGTTCTCCACGGTAATCTAGACAAATATATATATATATATAATTTTTCATTTGGATAGTGTTGTTATGTTATTCCATTGATCTACTGATGAGTTGATGCGTTTATCTTAAGCTCGTGGTTTATTAGTAATGAATTTTCCTCAATTTTTGTAAATAATAGTCCATCAATTTCATGTGTGCATTCAACATGATTATATAATCCAGTTACGATTGCGCGACTTTGTAAGGCCTCACAAGGCATGCCATTTACTTTCTCTCCAATCGATCAATTTCTTTTTCTCTCAAGATCATTTTTTTCCGAAAACTTCGAACTCGTCATTTGATTTGAAGTCTATTCTCGAAGACGACAACAAAAATTCCAATGTCAAGGCCATCGATCGAGCCACTCAGACTCTATGTACATTGAAGGACTTGCAGTCCAAGAAATCAGTCTCTCTGAAACTGCGCAAAAATTTGGCATGTCTTGAGGTGTTTCGTTGCCCTTTTTTCAAGTAGCTCATGAGAGATCCTGTTATTGTCGCCTCCAGTCTGGTTAGTTCTCTTCCAATTAGGTTTTTTTTTTTTTTTTTTTTTAACGATTTTTTATATTTATGTATATAATAATGTATGCAGTTTCATGTGTTGCTTGATCAATTTTGAGGTCATTTTTATGGCGAATTTGGTTCTGGTTGTTGATGTATTCGATTCGGTGAAGATTTTGTTATTCCTTTTGCTCTGTTCTTGGTAAGTTAATTATTATTATTATTATTATTATTATTATATATTTTTTTTCGTTTGTTTTGAAAAGTCTTATTTTGTTCTGATTTTGTGATAGAAGCTCTGTAGCTGGGAATGTTGAATTTATGTTTTTTGTCTGTAGCTTTTGTTCTTTTCTGTTATTGTACAAGCTTTTGTTCTAACTTTTGGCTTTTTGATTTAATATTTGTTTATGCCGTCACATCACATTAAAATGACCACAATTCCCTTACCCAACTTAGGAATTTACTTTTTTACCTATTGGGTGTGTTTGAACAATTTTTTGGAAACATGAAGGGTAGTTATGTAAATTCACACATTTGCATTTTACGCCACATCCCAAATGGTTTGTTGCGTTTTGCTGCCCATGGCTTTTTTTTCTTATCCTGCAAAACGCAGCTTTTTACCACATCTTCCCAAATGGCCACAAAGATAAAAATTTCTCAAAAGGAGACTTTCTGAGGGGGGGTTCCCACACCTCACTACAAAAAAACCAAGATTTAGTAGCGGCCAAAACTGTCGCTAAAAGCAGGAAAAAGCGTCGCTAAAAACTAAAACACCTTTACCCGCGTTTGCAATAGTGGCGGCCAAACCGCCGCAATAGCCCCGTCGGCATATCCTTATAGTGACGTTTTTCGCAAACGCTGGTATAGTTATTTTTATTGCGACGGTTGATGTAGTGGCAGTTACAAATGTCACTATATCTTGAATTTACCAATTACTTGCTAACTTTATAGCGACGGGTCGACTGCTGCTATATCCTTCACTTTTGCGACATTTTGTAAACCGTTGCTATATTTTGACTCTATTCCATCAGTTTTACACTGTCGCTATAACCATATAATTCGTTTCGAATTTTATTTACAGCGACGGTTATTAACCACTGTTGTAGGCTATTTTTTTTTTTTTTGGGGGGGGGGAGATGAATAAAGTCATAAATAAAAATTAAACGACAAAAAACTACAAGATACAAGGGGTATACCCTAGGAGCAAACCAACTATACAAACACACAAACCAAAAAAAAAAAGAAGACAATCTACACAACAAAAACCATCCTGTTCACACACCACATAAGCAAAGAGCAAATGAGGGCAAGAACAAGGCAAACAATACAAAAAAAACCTAAGAGCAACATAACCTGATTACATTGAAAAGATCCAAACAAGAAAAGGAACTAGAAACAAAACCCAAAAGGCCATATTACAGGGACAATTTGATTACAAAATGATCAAAACAGACATCATAGCCCTGCTCACATTATATATCTATAACAACACTATTTTATTCTAATGGCTCAATGCTCAATAATTGTAAAAGGTGAAAGAGTCTGCATTTTCATAATCCCAAAATATCCAAAACACCTTAATTAAAAGGTTCATTACATAAGCCTGTAATACAAAAAGATCCAATGTTTCTAGCAAACTAATAGCCCACACCATAATCCAAAAGAAAAACTTGTCACATAACAATAGTACTCAAAAGTATTACTCGTGACACCATTTTATAAAGATCTCCATGAAAAATGTTCAAATCGAGAAATGACGTCCATTGTTTGATACTTCATATTATCTTATTTCCTGCAATAAAAATAATTGAATGAGTATAAGTATCATTTTCAATTTTAAAATCTATAAAGAAAATTTAGACAACAAATAATTCTCGACAAGTCTTATTTTATTTTATTTTGGTAAGTATATGGTTTACATATAAAAAAATTAAGATTACAATGAAGTTGAAGATCATCAAGCCAAACATTAGTAGCAGCCACCAAATCAAGCAACCACTAGCAACATCTAAGGGTCTATTTTTAATTGTATATTACAGTTTGATATGTTGCTGATATTCAAATTTGTTCGATTTTTGCCCAATTCTCTATTTCATTGGTTTGTTTGGTATTTTTACGGATGCCAATAAAGGAAGCAAAATAGAGAAGTCAACCTATCAAACCCCAATTTCGTCCAAACTAACTAACTAACAATTTATTGGTAAATAAGTCATTAACAGTGGTTCTAAATTTGTGTCAATGTATGTGTATTGTAATGATGATTTACCTCGATTAGAAGGTTGCATTTCATGACACCGAAAAGAGGATCTTTGATGTGTTCGTGGAGAAGCTTGGTCCGGAATGCCACTACATCCATCTGTCGCCTAATTTATACAATAAAATTTACATAAGTATGCATAAATTTAGAAAATGATAACATATGATAAATACATCATATAAAAGAATATGTTATATGTAGTTATACCTGCAAACCACTAGAACTATGTCTCTGACTCATCAAAAATGCTACTTGCTCTTTTAAAGAGTTTATTACAGCATCTTGAGCTTGCAACTGAATACCTTGAGTTTGTAACTGATCACCTTGAGTTTTTAGTTGTTCCTTCAACTCAATTATAGTGTCTTTGTCTCTTATTCTGTCTTCATCAGAAACCATTCTTATGTGGTCAAAACTATTACACATGAAGCCATGCTTGGAAGGAGTAGGCCCAAATCCTAAACCTCGAACACGACCATGATGCTCTTTACCCATCACTTGAGAATAAATATCATTTGGTGACCAAGATATACGTCCACCAACATTTCCTTCGGAGCTGCTTGGTTGTGAGCTCATCAAAGCTTCTAGTTTTTCCTGTAGCATAAATGGGGAAAAAAAATAAGACGACAAAAAGCGAGAGTGATTGTTTGCCACAAACACATTAGAATTTTGAAAATGTAACTTATTAAATGGGCATACAATTTTTGTAGCTGCTGCTTCATTGACTGGTGTCCCATCTTTCCTTTTGTGAAGCGGTATATATAATTTTGCTCGATCTAGTGCAATCTTATCTTTTTGCTCCTATGTAACAATCATATCGTTTGAGAATAAATTCATAATATAATGCACTAACCAAATTCAAAATATAAAAGAAGGAATGAAGTTTGAAATACCATATCATATGCATGTTGTGCATAAGTTTTAGATCCTCCCGTATGTGCACTTGTTTGCTCTCCCCTGCTTTCCTTATTGGTTGCACTAAGTTCCTTCACTCATAAATGCATAACAATATGTTAAAAAAAAATGATATAATGACATTGTATTATTTGATAGAAAACATACATCTATGCATACCTGTCCTTCCTTTGAAAACTAATACGCGACAAGGTCAGCATAGTGCTCACGGTTAACTATTAAAGGTGCAGTAGCTACAATCTGTGCTGCTGTCTTTGTCTCATCATAGTACTTTGCTTTTAAACTACATTTCCAATTTCTCCATTTCTCTCCCATTGACTTCAATGTTCGATGCCTAATCATATCCCTTCTCTCATCTTGAGGAATGGCAAACTTGGACTACAATTGTATGGTTTTTCATGTTATGAACATTCTTAAAATTATCAATACAATAATATAAACTAAATTTGTGCATTTCTTTGCCTAATTCTCATATTTTTACATGGAGATAATGAACCACACTAATTTCATACTTCTTACTTCTAGACGACACCTATATCCTAATATAGGAAAGGAACTTTCAGACAATCCTATCAACAATTTTATTTACCACTGTAGTAGAATTATCACAAAATACTTGTAGTTAGAAAATTACCTCGATAATATTCCAACAATCTTCTTTATACTGATCTGGCACTTCATGCCAATTCTTGTACTTAATTGGGCATAAGTGTGGCTTCCTAGCAATGGTACCTATGAAGCGACTGAATATACCACCCTCTGTAGAAACAGCCTGCAAATCCTTGTTGAAAGTGAGCATAATGTGTTCTTCTGGAGTCAAATTCCACACTTCAACCATACGTGTAATTCCCCGCGTGTTTCGCTTGGTCGATTCATCTATTACAATACAACAATGATATATATCATGGAAGTTAAGGGTGACTTGTAATTTGTACCTCAACTAAAAATCTAATAATACCTGTACGTTGCATTTCTTCTTCCCTTAACCAGTCCTCATCTAAATCATCTTCAAACTGAGGGTTAACCTCTGATTCTTGAGGTTGAGGATGTGGAACATGTGATGGAGCATGTGAGGAGGGATGTGACCAACTAGGTTGTGAAGAGCCATTTGATCGACTAGGCTGTGAAGTTTCATTTGGCCGATTAAGCTGTAAAGAGGCATTTGAACGACTAGGTTGTGAAGTTCTATTTGGCCAGTCCATCTGTGGAGAGCCAATTGAGTGACTAGGTTGTGAAGTTCCACTTGGTGCGTTAAGCTGTGAAGGGTTATTTGGTTGGCTAGGCTGTGAAGAGTTATTTGACTGGCTAGGTTGTGAAGAGCCATTTGATCGCTTATTTTGGGAATCCTTCTCAAGATTGCAAGTTCTAAATTGTTTCTTTGCCATATCTGCTAGATAAACAATAGATGTAATTAATCAAACACAAAGATATTAATCAAATTAAATGAGCATTTATCATAGTATACTAAAGATATTAGAGAACATAAGCCATAGGAAAAGCTCATATACACCTCGCAATATTATTTTCTTTTTCTACTTCTAAGGAGATTTTCTGTACACAATGCATGGAAAGAGGAACAGATCTGTTACAATGGTGGATTGGGTATAAATTTAGAATCTTGGAATGGAAAATATGGGATGTGTTTCCTTTTGCTGCACTGTGGTATTTGTGGAGGGGCAAAATGATTGTAAGTTCATTGGTTCTCAACTAAGGGTGCAGTCTCTAGTAAATGGTGTTTGATTGTCTTGGCACGGTTGTAGGGGTGAATAAGGTGCCAATCCTGAGTCTGCTCTTGATTTTTTGGCAAAACACTGTCAGTGGGCTGTGGTGACATTAGGCCCTAATGGATGCATTGCAAAACATGGAAAAGAGGTCAGTGATATGTTATATTTGTCTCCCCTTCCATAGTTTTGGTTATTAGAAATATTAATATATAACCTGGTTATATATATAAAATCTATGGAACTTTGAAAGGTAACTATTCCACGGAATCTTATAATAATCTCTCTTCCAAAGGCACATGTGTACCCCTTATGGAATGGATATTATAATTGGCATCATCCTAAACACTGTGAGTCTGAATTTGTTATGTAATGATCATGGCAAGTACACAAGATTAACACAACACATTTATTCTGTTTTAAGTACACAATATGCTCTCTTTTAGTATATAGTAAGTCTACAAGCTAAACTCCAGTGAATAACACAATGCGTAAAGGGGTTAAGAATGAATGTCCTGACAGTAATGAAAACAGTTCATTAAATCAGTATTTCAGTCGTTCAGTCAGTACAGTCATATGTGGTACATCCATTAGCATAACAGTACAGTAAAC